GAACAGTAGTGACGTAATGATTTACGTAGATACATGAAAAAGAGAATAACTGTGGAAACGAAAGAATAGGAAAATTCTAAGGATTAAGGAATGAAGAAAAGAGGAGCGGAGGAAATGGAAGATGGAAAGACAAGGGAAGAGAGTTGGTGGACATAAATGAGGGAGAAGAGACATGAAAAGAAACAGAAAGGGCAAGAAATATGAAGTAAACGCGGGAGGAAAGGAAGAATGGAAACAGATAAGAAAGAAACGGGGCAAAGAAGGGGCGAAATAAGTGACCTCAAGTTTCTGTTATTAAGTTTACTGTTTGTTATATTTATAATTTCGTATGTAACTATTAAGAGACGAATATATAAACAAAAACATTAAAACAAAGTCCTAATGAAAATGTTTGATCCTAATTAAAATGAAAAAACGGGGACTGGAAACTATTAAACAGTCAAAAAAATTGTTATTTATTCCTGTAATAGAGTCACGTTGCTTAAATAGTGGAGGTTGATGACGTAGCTTGAATTGAGAAAACATGAAATGCATATATAATTTTGTTACCCAGTGTAGAACGTGAGTGGGGGAGGATCAGTAAGTTTAGTGACTGGCTACAGAATGGAAGACGGGGTTCGATCCCCGACGGAGGCAGAGGATTTTTACTCTAGTCTCGTAATATATGGTCAGGGGGTCAGTTAGAATATGTGTCAATCTGTTTATATTGCAGATAAGTTACTCATTCAGTTTATTAATTAATATCATATTAGCATTTCGGAATAGGAACCAGAAATGCAAGGAAATGAAAAATGAAGTTACAAATAAAATATTTCAATTAGCATTTCGTTTATAAAAACGTGAAGTTACAAATAAAATATTTCAATTAACATTTCGTGTATAAAAACAATGCGTTTGTAGCATCTGTGACAAAATTACAAGTTAAGTAAGGATTTCACTTAGTCTATTGCTTCGTGGTTCAAGCAGGCGATCTAAATTGCAACCAATCTGTATTTATAAGTTGCCATGGCAACTTGATGATGGATTATTTTAAGTATGAAAATTTTGGGCGTGGTGTTAATTTCCGGTTTCTCTTTGTGTCTTTCATAACTTCGGTCTATGTTCCTCCTGTTTCTTTTTTTAAATGTTTCCGAGTTTTATGAAAAATGGCAACCATTACATTGCCACCAGTGAGTGTAATATGAACGTGGCTCGAATGTAAATTGCATACAAAGTTAAACATTAATCACGATTCCCCGTCTAGTTTCACCATTTTTCGTACCAGACGGGTTTTTTGTTCGTGTATTGTATTAATAACGTAATATTGTCAGTTTCCCTGTTGTGCACAAAACAATTTAAAAAATTGACAAAATGATTTAGCTTATTGACTGCATTTTACATACTTTACGGAACGCGATTTGTAATTTGGATGTCTTGCATAAATCCATAATTCTATACCGTGAAATGTATTCACTCTGGGCTAATATATCAATTCTTGAACCCTATCATTTTATTGTTCTTCTGACTTTCAAGGACAGACAAGACGGTTCAGTGGAACATTTGCATGACTCGTCGACAGTTACTGAAAATAGATTCTTATACCCTGAGTTTTCTTCTGGCGTTTTGTCGATATTCTGTTTACTTTTGCCTGTATATGAATTTATTTTATCTCTTGTAGCATGTCTTCTATTTAGGTTACCAAGAGATAAATGACAGGATGATATTAAAACGAATAAGAAAGAAATTTGGTGTAATTTAAGCTGGACTCAACTGACTCAGGATAGGGGCCAGTGACCCGGTATTGTAGACAGTTTAAATGAACATTCGTAGTGGTGAATTTCTTGTCCAGCTTCGCGACTATCAGTTTTAAAATAAGGGCTCTGTTGCAAAGAGTTTGTGGGTTAGACATTCTTCTGGGTCATGAATTCTTAAACTTTTATGCAAATTATGTCATTGTTCCCCTATAACGCCGGTTACCTCCTTATGAAAATTGGAAAGATTTATTTCGGTTGAGTATACATATGTTCCGGGTGTCTTAACATTAATTTATCCAAGATGTAGTATATATCTTAGTCACCATTGTGAGCAGATCACGAGCTGCGTGATTGACTTCGCCAGAGTCCAGTCAGTTTTCAATCCAAAGGACATCGTTGCCTTTTCCGAGGGGACAAAGCAGTCGGAGCGTGTAACTTCCCAGTCACTCACTTACAGTATCGATGATAAAAATGCGTGAAGGTATATCTAGACTGCCCCACATGTCTTAATGGCATGGTGCTTAATTGAGCAAGGGACAACTTGAACTATACTTTTACCTTACGTAGGAATCGTAGCGAAACGTGCTAGCCTGCGTTGTGTATACAGTTTATACTAACTACATCCATTGAATTAGAGTAATTTATGAGAAGCTGATTGGTATTCATATAGGCGAAAAATGTCTTCTTAGGTTACGTTCCTCAAATTCTATTGAAACCATCCCCCCCCTCCCAAGCTACTTACATGGGGTGTAGCGGGACTTCTTAATCTTTGACGTTTATAAGCAGCCGCTACTGGTCGAAGTGATTTCACGCGTTCAAGTTTTCTGACCAAAATTTTGAATTAATTTCTTATCTCGCCCTCTCATGCTGTATGCGTTGTCCATGTGTTTGATTTGGTCGCCTTAACGACGTTAATGTTAGGCGTTTTGTGGAAAGGGGCCTAAATAGAGTATAATGTTTGTATTGTCACATACCGACTACCTCCATTCGACCTTCGCCGTGTACCGAAGTGAAGGAGGGTGCCTCAGCTGAAACCTCGCATCTGTAGATGCCACTCGCCTTGAGGTTGACATTCTTCAGAAGAACCTCCTGGCTGTCTGACAGATGGTGCTGTAATAGAATCAGAAAACTACTACATATAGTAACTCATTTTTCTAGAAAATAATTATCAAATGGAAAGCGAATCTGGAGTACTACAAGAACTTCAAAAATAACTAACCCCGTGGGACCGAGTCCTTAATGAGAAGCTGATAGTCGCTCTGCTGGACAACAAATTTCCCTGCCCGAAAGTTCATTATCGTGTTCACAAAAGTTCACCACTGGACCCTGTCCCGAGCTATATGAATCCAGACCACATCCTGATAGATTACTAAGTTTATACCATGCAACACACTCCTTGAGAATCCAACAGTCGCTTAGGTGATAAGAGTAATGTCAACGTTGTAATAACGTAGTACTTAGCACGGATGATACTCGGCGTTTGTTTTCATAAGTTCAAAGGGACGAGAACGAAATAAGATTAAGATACGAAAGAAATTATCGTTTGATTTCAACGAGCATATTCAGTTAGTTTGTGTGTAAATAGAATAATATATTTGAATAAATACTTCAAGTCACTTTTTATGGCCTGACATGACCTTTCATTACGGGTTAGTTTTGTTCAGTTGATTCTTTTATGATCTGCGGAACTACTTATTTGCCCAACGAATCGCACTTTAATGTAAAACATTATATTAAGTCTTTACAGCGATGTGAGCTTAGATAGTGGAATTCAGGGTTGGAGATGGAGACAGCTTGTTGCTCTGAAACGTTCGTATATAACCAGATGATAATGTCTTAACAAACCTGTTTTACACAATGTAAAGAATAGGGTTTTATATAATTTACAAAATTCCTTTGTTTGTTACATTAGATATTTGTTTTCAATTATTTGCAATGTGTATACTACCCTCAAACGAACTACCTTTTTTGAGTACCTAGTAAAGAAACTATGAACAAATTTTGAAATATTTGGTTGCATCAGTGTATCTTCAATATATAGAACAAAGAAGTTTTCTGTTAAGTGTTAGACAGTCAGATTTACGGTCCTCGGGTCAGATATCCTTACTGAGATTTTTCGTAATTGTTCCGATTCCGTTCAGGAAAATTCTAAAATGGTAACTTGAAATATTCCCAGTTCAACACTAACAGTAATTACGTTATTCAACTTTATATAGTGTATGCAGTTAAAGTGTCGTGAAAAAATATGAGAATAATGAAAAATGTATTTCCAAAAATATGCCTCTCTATTACGGATTAATTTTATACGCAGTGTACAAAGAACGCGTAAAATTAGCGGAGTGCTTGCAATTAATTGTATGAACACAGGCTTTGAAGGGTTTTAAGCCGTGTTTATTTTCTGACTGTGCTGTGTTATTGTTCCAAATACATTTGCCTGAAGATATTACTTCTAAGTTGGTATGTTCGCTTGCCTGCCTCGTTGCCTACCTGTCTCTGATGTGTACGTCCAGAGAGAACTACGTCTCAAGAGCCGTACCCTCTTGGGAGCTGCTAAGTTGAGGAAGTTTGCTGACTGCAATTAATTCAGTTATCCTCCAAGTTTGCTAAGAAACAAACTTTGAGGAATAGAGCTAGCTTCTTTTACGGTGCCTAACCTTAGTGTTATATCAACCAATCAAATTTTATACTAAAACATTCCATCGTTTAGAAAATATGATTTACGCGCAGATGTTTTAATGAGGTTACAACACGTACGGACTTTATGTAATTACTTTGATATATCGCGGTTGTATTAAAATTGTGGTTCGCGGCCAAAATGTGGCTCGTAATTTTGATACATATTTCACTATATTTTCATAAATAACATCCTGTCTTTTGAATAATGAGGTAAAGTTTCCATTAACTATAATCCCTGCATTAGGCGCATACAAGCAGATGGAAAGAAGGGGTAAGGAAAACGGATGTGAAGATACGAAGGTGGGCGGGAACGAGAATATAGAGAGGAGAGACGCATATATCTGCAATAAATTAGCATAAAGGCCAATGACTGGTAACTAAATCCATGTAATACTGTCCTTATTGAGAAACAAATATAGTCGTTCAGGTGGTCAACAAATTTCCAAACTTTCATGCAACCCTTAGGTTTATTATGATGTCGACAATTGGATCTTATTCTGAGGTGGTCTAATCAAATTCACTCTATCACATTGTTTCTTTAACACCCACGCTACTTAGGTTAGATGAATTAGAAAATATCTTTAAAATACACTTAAGTGAGTTAGTATGTAAGGTACAAAAATTAATACCTCGACGAATTTCTTATCTGTTCCATGCTTTAAATTTATTTAACGCAAATCCGAAAATACATTTTGATAAAATTTGCTAAATTGTAATGTAACGTTTTTATTCTTCTGTATTATTATAGCAGATTTTTAGGAAATAAACACGATTTGTTATTTTATATATTTAATACCTGTAAAAGGCGAAGGTGCTTAACACGTCTGTGAGTTACGATTATGTCAGTGGTTGGGACCTTGAACACTGCGTCCAAGGAGAAAGGAAGGAATGGGTACAGCTTAGAGGAATTACACTCTAAAACATTAAAGAGCAATGAACCTTACATCGACTTTGATGCCCTCTAGAGGGTAGCTGTGCTGAGGGGGGTGGGACTTGGGTACGTAACGATAGAATTCTTCGTGGTCCTTGTACCACGTGACAGAGTAGAGACGGTCATTCTCCAAGTCGTACTGGCACTGCAGCAAAGCCATTTCTCCGCGTAGTATGTACGGAGGAACACCGACCTTCAATAGCTTCAGGCTCAGCGCCCCTGAAACGATAACACACACTTTAACGCCTTCTGTGCCAAGAACTAAAGTGAAAGGAACACACCCTAACCTATCTGACATTACTGTAACCACTTAACCTGTTCTTTTGGAGTACGTTTCCCGGTGGCGTGGGGGGGGTTCGTGAATTTTTTGTGTTTCTAGTTGAAGTTCGTCACTTAAATATTCCACTGCTTTAATCAAGTTTATTCTTTTAGGTATATCTTTAATGCAACCCCTAAGTATATTCTGTTTATCAAATAGTTCTTCAATAATCTATACGATACAGTATTGAAGAATTAAAATAATGGTGGATTTTATAATATCGAGAGTATTCAGTAAAATTATGTAACTTTATGTTGAATGTTTATAATAAATGAAAGATTTGGAGCATTAAAATGTCCGTTACTTGAAGACTGTAGCAGTGAAATGGTTAAAATTATTTTTTGCTTTAGAATTTTGCTCAATACTTTACGACTTTTGGTCCCTTGTGTTTCTAAAATCTTCATATATCTCTCCCTTCCCAAGGTAAATTCCTGTTTTAAAGTAGTTTATAAGAAATATCAGTATTTATTTATTTATGTATCAGTTGAGCTCAGTATCAAATTTTACATTTCATTTACATGCCACACAAATACTACATTAAAGCGAACTTTTTTAGAACGAGAAAAAGAAGTATAAATTTTAATTTAAACTGCAAAATAATGAAAATAATCATAATAAAAACAGTATTGTTCTTGAGGTAAAACTTATTTTATTCTAAGACGATGCTTAACCCCATGAAAGATACGCTCCACACAGCTTAAGAACCAGAGTCGTAGAATCACTACTGGCCAATTCGAGAGAAATCTCGATCAGTGCAGAAGAGATTAACGTCGTGACATCGATTTAAGTTATATTTAGAGTCTGTTAATAGAAATTTATTTCTGTATTTTTAAATCGGAGATAAACTTATTTCAACAAATTTAATGTTAATACTGGAAAGTTCAGATATTAATAGTTTCAAGAATAAGTTGAATGACGTCAGGATGTCGTCATAAGAGGAAAAACACTGAACAATTTCCAATATTCTCGTCACTGCATTCAGTTTGCTTTCCCTATCAAAGACTTCTGTGTGGGAGACGTGACTAGAATCCTTACGGTATTCCATGCAATGCAGCCAACTGAAAAGGGTCCCTTTCTGACGGTTAACGAAATAAAACTTTATATTTTCTAACCGCATCAAAGCAGCATGATTATGATAATGAGGTAACGAACAATTCACTGCATTGTAGAGGTTAGGAATCCTTGATCCGCATTTGGGGGGGGGGGGGG